AGAGAAGCCATCAAGTCTCAGTCACCTTGCAAGCAAACGCCCTCGAGGGCAGCTGGCTGCTCCGCGGCAGCCAATCTACACTCTGGCTGCAGGTTTAGGTTGGGGAGCAGAGGGAGGTCGCTCGTGTTCGCTGGTAACTTGCAAAAAGCCTTGGCTCCGTCTGACCTCGTCCTCGGTGATGCGAGCCGGGATTTGGTGTTGTCGCTTGGAGTGGGGGTGGGGTTGTTTCCCCACATGGGATCTGGGGTGCTGCAAGCCAGGAGGGGTCATCAGAGGTTTGTCCCCTCTCCCAAAGCAGCCACCAGCGTTCAGACACCTGGGGAGGAAACATGATTTCCGCGTGCTGGTTGTTTTCTCGTTATATTTTTCCCCCCTGCAGCCTCTGACAGTTAGGAATGTGTTTTTTTTAAAAGCAGCTGCATGTAGAAGCCTGACTTCCAGCCGGGCACGTTGCCTGGCTGGATCCTCAGTCAGAATGGCTCCTTTGGCGTGGCCACACTGCTTTCTGCCGGCCGTGGATCCAGCCCTCCGTGTCTGGGAGGTGAGGGGCCCCCCTGCCATGGGGGATCTGGCCGCTGCTTCTTGTTTTACACACGATGGAGATCAGGATCAAATTTAACATTATCCAGGTCTCTGCCATCTTGCTGGGCATGGGTGCAGCCATCATGTTCCATGTCCCTCTGCCCTAACCCCTGGTTCTATGCGGCCTGCTACACCATATCCCTGTATCCTAGGACCTCATGCTCCATGACCCTGATTCCCAGCCACTCCAGCTCCATTTCCATGTACCCTAGCCCTTGCCCTCTGCCCAGTGCTGTTTCCCTTTATCCCAGCGCTCCTTCTGCTCTGTTTGCATGTCCCTGCGTCTGTTCCACTGCCATGTGCCCGGGACCCTGCTGCTCCCTCTCCATGACTCCAGGCTTGGAAAGATCCGGGCAGGGGAGAGAAGGCTATTTTCCGTGGCGGAATAGCAAGCCAGGCTGAATGCCCCGGCCTGGGAAGTGTACTGCAGTTCCAGCTCTTCGAAGAACCTGACCAGTTTTGTAAGGATCCTTAATTAGTTTCCTCGGACATTGCCGGGAACAGAGCTCGGGGTAATGGAATGGAATTAACATAGGGGAAATTGAAGCTGAATCTAAAGAAAAGCTTCCTGAAGGTATCCACCTGTCTGTGTATCCTATTCCTCATCATTATCATCATCCCAATGATATTTCTAAGGTGCCTGTCACCTTAGCATCTGGCCTGTGGAAGAGCATCCCTTGGGCAGTGATGGAAACTCTGTTTCTTTAGGCCACCCATCCCCTTGCCATTGGGACATCGCTCCTCTCCCTGTAACTGCATTGGCAGGAAGGTGCCCCAGAGAACCCCGGAGGGTTCTTCTGTCTCTGACTTCCATGATTCTCTGGCCAATCACTCGCTTTTCTGGCCCTTGTGGTGAGGAGTCCAGCCTCGGCAAGGAGTGTGGTTTTCTGCTGTCCATTCGCCGAACTGAAAGCGAACAAGGCCTCTTCCTCTTCTATTGGTCTTTGGAAAGCTGGGCTCCTGAGGAACAGCTGAAGCCTGTAGGGTCACAGAGCTTATGCGGAACCGGAGCCAGCTGCACCATTGCCCAAGCCCCGGAGCCAACAGCTCACTTTGAGAACCAGAGCTTGTTGAGGGAGGTTTCTCACTGGTGGCTGAGCCTACCTGCCTGTGCTGGCAGCACTTCAGAAGAAGGTGGGGCTGGGGCTGATGAATCCATCCTCCCCAGGCCTTGGGAGAAAGAGGGAGTGCTTAGCACACCTACATGCAGGCAGCAGTGAGCCGTGCAGGCGTCTGTTCCCAGGACCTTTGTTACGTGACTGTCTCTGCTAGCCAGCAAGCTCCCACACGCTTTCCGGGGCTGTAAACACTTCAGAGCTAGGATGCTTGGCAAGGCTCTGGCTCACCTCTGCAGGTGTAGCCAGTTCTGCAAGAGGCTTTCTCACCTGGAGGGCAGAAGGATCATAGCATGCAGCCCGACGAATTGGATGCGCCGCATTTCCCCCCTCCCTCGAATCCCGGCCTGGTATTAGGAAGCACGGTGCTGCTCTTTGCCCTCGTAGCGTGCTCCATCACCCAGTGCTCCTTGTGCTGCTAAGGGGGCCGCTGTTCATAACAGGTCCCAGATCTCTGCCCCCTGGTTAGGGGGTGCTGTGCTGAGAGCTTCATTGCCCAGACATTCTTCATCCATCTCAGTCCTGCTGCCATTCCCTTCCTGAGTCCGGCTGGTCCCATCTGTCATTGCCCCAGCATGGCATCGGGAGGTGCAGTGCTGCTGAGGGTGCTCTGCTCGGCGTCAGCTGGCTCCGTCTCCTCCCACACCAAAGGGCTGCTGTGCAGCTCCCAAACTAAAACGACATTTGCGGTGCTGCTCGGCTGGGTCATTAGCTGGATCTAAAGGCCAAGAGGCGCGCGGTGGCACCTCACGTCACCAGTGCCGGGTGCTCCCCAGCCGCACACACCCAGTGCCTTTCAGTGACTCTTAGCAGAGCATTAGGCAAGCACCTATTCCCTGGCGGTGCTGAGTGACTGGCAGGGGCATGAAGCCTGGCTGAAGGAGAGAGCCCATACTCAGCCCAGAGGAAGGGTGTTGAGGCTTCATTGTTGCCCTGCTGCGGTCTACGGGTGAAGTGTCAGTGCTGGGCAGGTTTTGTTAAGATCCCTTCTGGGCTCAGCCGGGCCGCGGCGAGGGCTGCAGACTGCAGGAGGGAAGCAAGTGCAGCCGGCTTTAAACAAAATGCTGGGAGTGAGCGTGTGCCTCCGTGAGGACGTGTGTGTGGATGTGTGTTTGAGAGGGGGAAGCCCTGTCTGAGGATGTGTGTGTGTGTGTGCCTGCGTGTGAGCGAGGAGAAGTGCGTGCCTGAGTGAGGACGTGTGTGTGTGAGATTGGAAATGTGCGAGTGTGTGACAGAGGGCACGTGTCCATGAAGGATTGTATGTGGAGGGATAGATGTGTGTCTGAGGACGTGAGTGAGAATATGTTTGAGAGGACACTGGGTGAATGTACACGTGTGTGTACTTGGGGTGGTGGCCTGTGAGGAGCTAACTCGGTTTTGCACTCACTTGGACCTAGTTGGCCATTAGAGGAGTGGGAGCGCAGAGGCCAGACTGTTTCTAACCTTGGCTCTGACAGCAGCAGTATTGATGCCCTTGCACTTAGCAGCAATGGCTTTGAATGGCCGCGTGCGCTGACCATGAAGATACTCTGTCTCCATTTCTCCTATATCCCTCCCTCTCTGTCTCCTGACCCTCCCTTCCTCTCCATCACCCTTTCTTGTCCTTCTTTCTTTTTACCCCTTTCCCTCCTCCTACCCTTTCTCGCTTTCCCTGGGCTCCCTCTCTCACATGCTGCACACATGCGTTTCAGCCTCCTCCGTAAGGGAGTGAGCAGAACCAGCTTTTCCAGTTCTCTGCACCTTGCTCTTCCAATACATTTTTAATATAAATACCAGCTGTATAATTATTGGAGCGTTATCTCTAAACACACAGATTAGAGGAATATGTGGCAGCAGCCATAGATGAATTTAAATGTTGATCTTGTGAGAGACTTTATTTCCCACTCTGTAGAGGGAGGAATCACCTGGGACAGAAGAATAACCATTAAGAATATGCTACGCTTCTGCTAAGCGCCTTTCATCTCTGTGTTACAGAGCTTGTGTCTAGGAATGGCTTCATCTGCCTCTAAAATGCAGCCACCTCTGGGGTGGAACGAGGCAGCAGTTTGCCATCTGACAGCAACAATGCACAACAGGAAAGGAAAGGTCAGGAAGTGAAAAATAGACTATCTGGCTGGAGCAGCCTGTGTGCCTGGGTGTTCTCATAACCCTGTTCTTCAGATTTGCTCTGAAAATCACAGTCTAGGCCTCAGCAGCTCAATGAGAATATCTCCACTGACCTTAATGGGAGTTGGAGCAAGCCATTAATCTGCATGGGCTTGTTTTCCTCTGCATGTGTGTGTGTGTGTGTGTGTGTGTGTGTGTGTGTGTGTTTTTGAGCACACACACACGTGCATGCATGTGTCAGTTTGCAAGTGTCTTTTGCACCCTTGGGATGGATCAAATGCTGCCAACAAATCTTCCTGAGTAACTCCCCTTGCTTTCAGTGAGCCACCTGCAATGTCCTGAGAGCGGAGTTTGGCCAAGCGTGTAGCTGGGTGCGCACATGTAAGTTCATGTGTGTACAGCGGGTGCCTGGTGATGTGGTTCCCCCATGCCTAGAACAGTCAATGTGTCTGTGCGTGTGTGTGATGGCGCGGGGTGTGTGGTGTGTGGATGTGTGCGTAGGTATGCTTATATAGCCATGTGTGTGCTGTATATTTGCAGTAATGACTAGTGGCATGTGATATGTTTCCCAAGTGTAAAAGCATCAGCTTGTTTGTCCATCCCCAGACCGTCAGGGGATGGTCACAGGGCACCACATTAGCCATTGGGCTCTAGACCTTATTGGGTGGCTACGGGCGGGAAGGGAGCAGCACACCTCACTGGCTGGCATGGCTGGGGGATATCAGCCCTTATCAAACGGCTGTTGCAGGTGGGGTTGCAGTTTGTTATACAACAGCAGTGGGGCTGGCTCCCCCAGAGGCTGACGTGGGTCCCAGCCAGCCCTGGCTGCAGAGGGCTCCATGGCGTTACATCGGGGTGGATTTGGCCCGGAGAGTTTTGTTATGTGATGCTATGTCCTGCGCTGGGGACGGACCTCTGGGGTCCAATAGCTCTTGGCTAACTGGAAGGCAGGCGGCAGGGACCATAAGCCCCCAACGTCCATAGGGCGGTGCGCTCTGCAATCAAATGCTGTAGGAATTGGCCCAGTGTATCGACTGCCTGACAAATTCCTGGGGCAGCTGAAATTCAGGGGGTGGTCACGGAATGTCAGCTCCTTGCCTGGTATGCACCAAGGGGTTCCAGAGACCAGGATCCCTCCGTTCCTCTCTCTCTCTCTTTCTCAATCTCATCCACGTCTTCCCTGCTCTGTCGTTGCAGGGCTCCGGGCTCAGACCGTCCTGGTCAATGACACAGTCTCGGGGTTCATCGGGACGGACGTGGTCCTTCACTGTAGCTTCACCAACCCGCTCCCCAGTGTGAAGATCACGCAGGTCACGTGGCAGAAGGCCACCAATGGCTCCAAGCAGAATGTGGCCATCTACAACCCCGCCATGGGGGTCTCCATCCTCTCCCCCTACAAGGAGCGCGTGACCTTCCGTAACCCCTCCTTTAAGGATGGCACCATCCAGCTGTCCCGGCTGGAGCTGGAGGATGAAGGCGTGTACATCTGCGAATTTGCCACCTTCCCAACCGGCAACCGGGAGAGCCAGCTGAACCTCACCGTGCTGGGTAAGATATAGCCATTGCCTTGGGCCGGATGCTCAGCCCGTATCACTGCCCTGGGTCAGAGTCACCCACCGAACACCCTCTGGAACCTGGGACCAGCGACCTAGGACTCCCTGAGGCTCTGGTGGGGGGAATCCCTTGGTTTAAATCGCACCCACAGAGCTCTTTCTCCATAATCTGTCTTTGCCAGGAGCATGGGGAGGCTGAACTAGTTTGCTAAGTGGCTTGAGAGTCCCAGATGAAAGACACTAGAGCGATACAAAGCATTAGTAGGGTTCCTCCCTGGAGCTCTCTTAGCCTGGGTTTGTGGGTAGAGAGACCTTGGCCTAGGATTCCCCCACAAGGTTCTCTCTAACCTGGGCTTCTCAGGGAAGGACAGAATTCAACTGTCCATCCAATGTATTACCACCCTTCTTCATGACCTGCAGCCTGGAGGGTTGGATCTCCAGTGGGTGAGGTTCAGAGTAGCGCTGCTGAGACTGCAGGAAATTTGCTCGAGCTCTGAATCAGGCCAGGGAGAGCCCAGCTGTGGGGCTGTACTGCTGGGTGTCCCGGGGGTTGGGAGCCGTGGGGATTGGTGATTTTATAACCTCTCCCTGCTCTGCTGTCTCTTTGTAGCCAAGCCCACCAACCGGATGGAGGGCACCACCCGGCCCCTTGTAGCCAGATCCGGCAAGACGGAAAAGATCCTGGTAGCCACCTGCATGTCCTCCAATGGGAAGCCGCCCAGCACCGTCACCTGGGACACCAAGCTCAAAGGGGAGGCGGAGTTCCAGGAGATCAAGAACAGCAACGGCACCATCACGGTGATCAGCCGGTACCGCCTAGTGCCGAGCCGGGAGGCCCACCGGCAGCAGCTCATGTGCGTGGTCAATTACCAGCTGGACCGTTTCACCGACAGCATGACCCTCAATGTGCAGTGTAAGTGAGAGAGCAATGAGGCCAGGCCAGCTGCCAAGGCCTGGTGTCTTGATTGAATATCCCCCGGGCGGGGAGGGGCATGAGCTTGCTGCAGGAGTGGAGACCAGTGCCGTGCCCTCCTTGGGGTAGAAGAGAACAGCGTGATCTCTTGGAATAACCACTCACCCTCCCTCCCTCTCTCACCCACTCCTTCCTTTTGCCCGTTCTTTCTCTCCCTTTCCACCTCTCCCTTCTTCCTGTCTTCCTCTCTGCGTTCTCTACTCCTCTCTAATGTTCTCTGTCCCCATCTCCCATTCTCCTCCATTCCCACTGTTCCTCCATCCTTCTTTTCTTTGTTTTCACCCCCATCTCTGTCTCCTCATTCCTCTTTTTCCCTTCCTCTCCCATTTCCTTCCCCCTCCTTTCGCCATCTCTCTTTCTTCTACCTGCCCCCCCCCGGCCCTGTTTCTTGCCATCCCTCTCTCCCCTGACAGATGAGCCAGAAGTCACCATCGAGGGCTTTGACGGCAACTGGTTTTTGAACCGGAAGGATGTGAAACTGACGTGCAAATCTGATGCCAACCCCCCCGCTACCACCTACCAATGGAGGCTGTAAGTACCCCCAAGGCATCCGGCCCTGTAGCAGCACACACCACTTCCCACGAGAGCCAGGGAGCCCTCCTTGGAGAGCTAGAAGACTCCTACCAACTAGCACTTGGACTCCCGTAAGGCCTGGTTGCAGAGCTGTGTATAGAGACCCAGGGCCTGGCTCTGCTCTCACTGATGCTGCTGTGAATCCGGAGTAACTCCATTGCCGTCAGTGGGGTAAAACCTGTGCACTTGACAGGAGAAATGGGGCCTCGGGGTCACTAGAGACCGAAACCATCTTCCCACGGGATGCTCAGGGCAGCAGAGAGAAATCTCTACTTCTTTGGGGGCGAAATGGGCTGTGTATAGAAATCCTGACTCTGCCGGGATTGAAACTAGCTTTCTATAGGGAACTCAGGCCTGCACCTGTATGGGGCAGCTCCTCCACTGGTGTAAACCATACACCAGCTGAGGAGCAGGTCTATAAATGCTTCCTCTCTATGAATTGCCTCTACGTAGAACTCTGGTGCACCTATAGAAGGGTCTATCCATCAGGACTGGAACCAGCTTTCTGGGGTAGGGGGGGTCTCGCTGCCAATTCAGGGGGTCTGGAGTCGCTGCTGTCCGGGACTTTGACCTTTTCAGCTCCCCCGCCCCCTCCCCATGGAGCCTGGCCTGTCAGACACAGAGCAACCTGCTTCCTCTGCCAGCCGTGCCTACAGGACAGCCTGCCGGGGTGTGGCTGCAGACCGCGCTGGTGGGGAAGGCACCGGAGCTTTCCAGGCGACTGGGGACACCAGTGCCTTTCCGGGCGGATGGACTCACGTGGCCTGACAGCTGAGATGACACGGATGGGGCTGGGGTTTGGTCTGAGCCCCAGCGCGTCTGCCTGGCATGGGCAAAGGTTTCCAGGTCTGCTCACAGCTCTGCTAACAGGCTCTGTGGGGGATGGGGCAGGGTGGGGAGCTGAAAAGGTCACGGTCCCCTTCTTAGGGGACCATGATCCCCTTCCACCAGGATTACATCCCCTCCCTGCTCTCTCAGGTTATTCTCCTGCCCACGGCCTCCTCCAGGCCCAGCACTTGCCAAGGGGAAGAGAATTCAGACCCAGTGGGCCCTGCCATCTCCGATGGAGGGGAACAGGCAACAGGCAAGGAGCTTGCAGCTCCCTCCCGCCCCTCTCGGCCCCGGTTTGCATTAATTAGGCAGCATTGCCGGTCAATCTGACAAGGCCCCGAGAGCGGGGAGAGCTGGGCTGCGAGGGCCGTTGAGCTGCGGCGGCAGGAGGATCCCTTGATGCACAGGAGAAGAGCAGAAAATGCTGCTGCCCTGCCCCTGTTGTGTTCATGGTGGCTGGGAGATTGACCCCAGCACAATGAGCTGCGCAAGCGGCACCCGGGAGTGAAGGGCTGCAGGTGAGCATGCTCCCCCAGCAAACCCGGGTGCATGGTGCCAGCTGCAGGCTCCGCTGGGGCATAAAGACTCCATCTGCCAGCCCCTTTCCAGTGCGGAGACGGAGCGTAGCTGTGACGTGTCCAGACACAGACATGCTCTCCGGGGCCCCAGGAGAAGAGACGCCCTTTGTTGCGTGGAGGTCGAGCAGGTGGTGGGACACACATAACTCCATGGCTTCCCCTCAATCTTGGAGGCTCTAGCTCCATCACTGGACCTGACGGAGTAACCCAGCTGCCACTCCATAACCTCTGAGTGTGCGTATCTGGCAGTGGCCCTTATACAGACCTTCGCATCTCCATGAAGCTGGACAGACATCCAATAATCCTCCCAACCCTCCTATAAGGAGGGTGAGTATTAGTCTCCCTGTGCTGCAAGTGGGGAAACTGAGGCACGGAGCGGCATAGTGACTTGCCCAAGCTCACTCAGCAAGTCAGTAGCAGAGCCGGAAAAAGAACCCAGGAGTTCGGCGGTGGTTCTGGGGATTGTCATGTGTGCCAATAGGGATTAAAGAGCACAAGTTCTCTTGACTTTATGCACCTTTGAAAATCTCTCCCTGCAATGAACCCCATTCTAACCAACCTCCCTTTGGCGCAGCCCTCCCCACATTTCAGTCATTAAATGGAAGCAATTCAGCCTCCTCCAGGTTGTCAGCTTTGGGCTGAACGCCCTAAAGGGAAGGAGGAGTGAGCCGGAGCCGTTGGGGGCTTAGATGAACATTGACGGAACCTGGAATGGTTATTTCTTTTTGCATTCACGGAGCTTAAAAACCGTTCAAACGGATTCTTTTCTCTTCGGCTGGCGCTTGTCATTGGGAAAGCGGCTCTCAAAATGTCTTTGCAGGGAGCCAGAGTTATTCTCTCTCATGTTGCTTCCCGCATCAGACTGCTTGGCTTACGAGCCTGAAGAGGATTCTCCTGTCACCGCTGCCAATTCTTCCCCTGTAAACTCCATGTGGCTCTTGGCACCTCTTGCACCATCACCCAGGGCAGCGCAGAGAGAGGTTTTCACACGTGATACAAGAGGCTCCAGCGCCTCCTGCAGAGTGGCGTTGGCTCCCGGCGGCTCACATCCTTTGGCAGTAAGGCCAGCTTCCTGGCGTTAAAGGTGGCCCTGTGGGACAAGCGCTGGCCAAGAGCATAGGAGACCAGGGTTCAATTCCTGCCTCTGTTCCAGGCTTTGTCTGTCACTTTGGGCAAGTCATGTGATCTCCCCATGCCTCAGTTCCCCCTATGTAAGATGGAGACAATAATACTCCCTTGGTCTGTTTAAATTATAAGCTCTTCAGAGGCGGGCTGTCCCTTACTATGCATGTGTACAGCACCTTGCGCAGTGGGGCCCTGATCTCAGAGTGGGGCCTCCAGCTGCCTCTGTAACACTAGAGATAGGCAGACAGCGATGGTGTGAGTAAGACGGGGCCATTTTTTCTCAGCCCGGGTGAGATTTCCTAGCCCAGGCCAGGTGGGAGGGGCAGTTATGGGATGCAGGGTTCCATACACTCTGCCGGCTGCGTTTCCCTCAGCAGGACCACTTCAGGTGGCGTGTTGGTTGGCAACTGGCATAAGCGCTCCCAACTCCCAGAAGGAGGCAGCGCCCTGGAGAATTGTATCCCCTGATGCCAGGCCTGGAGTTAGCCCTCCGTGGCCATGCATTTCGTTACAGTTTTAAAATCTAGAAAGACTAAGGATTCTCCTATCGTCCGTGTGTGTGTGTGTGTATCTATGGCCCCCGGTCCCGAGGGGACCATGGCTCACGACTCAGCCACCGGGGGCACAAGCTCGTTGGCTGCAGAAGGAGCTGGGGATAGGAGAAGGGAGAGACAGAGAGAGCAGGCTACTGCGACAAATACCCCTTTGATCCTGTCCTCACCACTCCCTTCCCAGAGGACATACTGGTCAGTGAGGTTTGCGTATAGGTTTATTAAACTGAGAGGGAGTGCTGCAGGGGGAGGAAGGGAAGGGAAAGAAGAGAGAAGTAGTAAAGATAGAGGGAGGGGCATAGAAAGGAGAACAGAGAGATGGGAGGGGAAGAGAGGGGCAAAAACAGCTGTTTGCTTTCTCTCTCTTCCTCCTTGCCACAGACTCTGCTTTCCCGTCAGCTCAGGGCTGCCTATTAGCCTGTTCCCCTGGGAGAGACGCAGGCCAAAGTCTGGGTTTGGAGCTCGCTAACTAACTCTGCTGCTCCCCAGCAGCCAGGCCCTGGGAGCTGCGTGTGCACGGCAGGAGGGATGGGGATGGTGAGTGATGGGGACAGGGCCACATCGCGAGCGGAGCAGCAGCGCCGGAGAGAAATTCACTCTGACGTGTCCCCCCGTGCTGCTGATTAACGTAGAACTGATTCCCTGCTCCCATGTCAGAGCCCAGCCGGACAGGCTGAGAAATCGCTTCCCATGCCTTTCGTTAACCTGCGAGTCGCATTTGCCTGTTTCTGTTCCTGAAGGAGAGGCAGCAAATTACTGGTGATGACACCGCAGCCCTGCCTGGAATGGCAATTCACCCCCTCCCCTTCCCTCGCTTTTGTGTGGCGGAGAGCGGCTGCTGATTCCCTCACTTGCTCGTTACAGTAATCAGCACAGGCTTCCCATTCCCCCACTTGACCCTGCGGGGGGAGCCCGTCAACTCAGCGGGCCCCTTGCCTGGAGACCAGGAGGTGCCTAGCCTCGGCCCCACCAGGTTCAAGAAGCCAAACCTTTCCTTTCATAGCAAGGCTGTCCTCCATCGGGCTAGCACTGCTTACTGGCTCTTACCCTCCCAGAACCACCGGTGGGACCATCACCCTAACAGCAACACCTACCGTACGTCACCTCCCAAGCAGTACATGAACACTGAGCCCTCTGAGCCGTTCTTATCCCTGGTCTACCAGAGAGAGCTGGCCGCATGGAGGCCAGGTCTCGGGGAATCTGTCTGACCATTTCTGGGACACTTTGCAAATCTGAATTACGTGCTCCGTCTGTATCCCCCTATACTTCCCACCCTTTTCTTCCTATCCAACTAGATTAAATTGGAGCGGAAATACCACCAGCTCTAGGGCAGCCTGTTCCTTGTATTAGGGATAGAAAAGCCTCCCCCCCCCTGTAATGCTGCATGCAGTGACTCGAGAGCATGAGTACCAGGCTCAGAGCAGACTGTTCAAAACCAGCATACAAACCCCAACCTGGCTGGGAATACTTAGATTTCACCAACCAAGTATCAAGTGTCAATTCCTCAGGCACAGTAACAGCCTTTACATGGAGTCACAGACAGTCCCTGGGGTACTCTGATCTATCTCGCCACCCAGGTGAGCCTACCTTTCTGATAGCTGGTCCCTTACACCAGGAATAATATTCAGGTTACTCCCAGTCCCAAAGGACCAGTCACTTACCCCCAAGTCAGTTGCACCTTAGGTCCCACACCAAAGACAACGCTTGTAGCCAATCCTACAATAAAACATTTACAGATTTATAAAATAGGAAAAGGGAGTTATATACAAGGTTAAAGCAGGTGAACATACACACACAAATGAGTTACAATTCTTAAGTTGTAAAAGGTAATAGAAGCTTTTATGATAAGCAAGCTCTTCATGTCCTTTAGGGCTAACTCAGGCTATGCAGCTGGGATCTCTTGCCTATTCCTAGAAACCCTTGTCCCCCAGAGTCTAAGCAGCACAGAGATACAGTATCTTCTTGTTAGGGTTTTTTTTTATTCACCTCCTGCCTTATGCTCTGAGCTGCAAACTCAGCTGATGGGAGAATCCACTTGCATGGCTCCTCTTCATGGGGAGGGGAGGGCAGAACAATCAGTGCCTTTTGTCCTCTTTAACGTTGCACACTAGTCCGTCTGGTGTCAATGGCCTTTTCTGTCGGGCAGGACGTAATGCTTTCTGTTGGAGATCAGCACTTCACACTAGCTAATGTCTCTCTCCTCTCTGGTGATTTACACAGTCACAGAGGCTCACCATACAAGCACTCAAATATTACCTTACAGTATGGGATACAGAAGGTGTAAGTTGAGACTAATGCAGGCAGCAGCTTACGAGCATTCAATACAGTCGAAACTCTAAACATATTCTTATAACTCTAATACCCGTGTTAACAAGACTATCACGCAGAGGGGCCAGACCGAGCCCAGCCATGTGTTTGTCAGTGTTCCATTGAGACACGGGGACCTTGGCATGAGCTGGCCCCTGGTTTGCCAGCCTCACACCCACCAGCTCTGCTGGCAGAAGTGTTTATTTTTTCATTGGCATCTTTGCTCCTGTATTGCAAACCCAGTCTCATTGGTTCTCAGCCCCACAGCTAGGTTTGGAATTAGGTCACATTGAATTAGCCCAGCCCTGGTTTTAACAGATGTGGGAAACTGAGACATAGAAATGGTATCATCCTGCCAGAGAGGCTGCATTAGGATTCAGAATTTGGGAGCCAGGGCACAGGCCTCTCTTTGAGCTGCTATAGCAGAACTCCCGGATAGTACTTGAGGATGCTGGGAATGGGCAAAAAAAAAAAAAAAGTGGCTAAGCAGGCACACCTGATCAGGGATCAGCTGATTCCCCTATCAAGAGCAGCAGGATGTTGCAGAAAGGGGATTTTCAGAGAGCCCTAGCAGGAGTATGGCGGCTGCTGGGAGTGACAAGCCCCAGCAGTGAAAGCTGGGACTTGGGGAGCAAGGTACAAGCAGGCAAGGCCTGGGAGTGAGCTGATAAGAGGCTAAATAGAGTTGAGAACTTTATTTTGGATGCTGCTAATTGAATAAACCAGAATTTGAGAAGGTCTGTGAATGGGGGTGTGAGTGATTGAAGAAGCCCCTAGCAGGAGGACACTGAGGCAGGGGGCTGCTTGCAGGGCTGGCCTGAGGCCATGAGGGGGTGAGTGAGAGTGGCCCCCTGACGACAATACCTAGCCCTTTATACAGATTCTTCCTAATGCCCCATCCATCTCTTTACCCATATTCGTGGGGGATTCCGTTTACACTAGAGCTGACCATTGCGCCAATCAACAGCCTCCCTCCAGCAATGACCCAGGGGGATGCTTAAGTAGAAGGTGGGAACCCTGCATTATGGGCCTGGTCGGTTGTGCAGCGCTCCATGTTGTGGGTCTGCCAAGCTCTGCGGGAATCAGCTGACACCAGGGAGTAGTTCTCTATTGGTTCCATGGGGATAATAGCACCTCCCTGCCTCCTGGGCTTCTGAGGGGTGCCAGGGTGACTGGCCCCTTTAAGAGGGAGGGGGATCCAGTGCACCAGGGACTTGTTACCAGCCTGGCATCTACTCCTGTCTCCCTGAGGCCCAGCTGGGCAGCAGGAAATCAGTCACAGGTGCACTGGACCCGGCTCCCTCTTAACGGGGCTGGTCACCCATGAGAATAGATGTATTCAAGTTGGAGGCGTTTGGATATTCCTGTAATGGGGCCACATAAGTGCCATATGCAGGCTGGCTTCGGTGGGCCCAGGATTAGGCCAGTGCTGAGCGCTTGGGAAAATGCCAACTTCTGGGTGCAGATTTCCAGCTCCCAGGGCCAGGGTCCCATTTGGACCCACAGGCACCAAGGTCGTCGCTGGGCTCTTGTGGGCCCACATAAGGGCTCAGAAGCCGAACGGCTGCCAGGCTTGAGGAAGTGGGTTTCCTGTCGGGACTGACTCATGGTTACATAGGATGAGCCAGGAAACTGATGGCAAGTCGAGGAGATGGAGGGTCCTCAGCAGGCATAAACCAGTGCAGCAGCTCCACTGAAATCAACAGAGCGTGGCTGGTTTCCCCCAGTGCGGGGGCTGGCCCAGGGTGTCTGTTGGAAGCAGTGTTCAGCCTTTTAAGGCTGGGATTCCTCCCCAAGGTGCCAGCCCATTGGGAACTGGCTGCATGACTGCCTTCACATCCCTGCTGAAATGCTAACAGTGCAGGGCATCCACAGGGCCCAATGACTCTGCTGGTCAGTGCCTTGCAGGGCGGGCCCTGATTCACCCATTGGCACTGGACCAGCAGCAGACCTATGTATGCACCACTTAAGTCCCAGGGCATAAGTGAGACTTAAGTGGCACCTAGCCCTTTCGCTGGCTCTCTGCAAAGGGATGAATTTCACCCTTCCTGACTAATGCATTTTCTTTATTAATGGTATTCATGGTCATCCCTTGCCTTATATATATTGTTATTTATATCCATTTCCTATACTAATGCAACCAAGGTACCACTTAATTCCTCTTTTTTACTAAGGATTACTCACAGTTAATGCATTTTTTGTAGGGGGGGAGATTACTTAGTAAATGTAATTGCTTAATAAAAGTAATTGCTTTACTTTGTAGCGGTAATTAAGAATGACTGGGATGTGTATTTCTTTCCTTGGCGTATGGATTTTTGGGGATTGTTTGTTTCACGGCTTTCCGAAACTTGGCGCCTGACTCGGTGCTGTTGTTCCAGTTTTACATCAGTGGGTGAGATCCTTTGCTGGTGTATATCGGCAGAGCTCCACGGAAGTCAGCGTTGTTGTGCTGATTGTCACCAGTTGAAGATCCGCCCAGTGGGGTTACACTGGCATGAAATGGGAATCATGCAGTAGCGAATCAGTATCCGTGTGTCTGTTGGTTGCACTGAATGGAAGGCGAGGGGGATGTAAGTGCGTTGAAGGCCTGCTAGAGATGAGTCTATGAGATAAAATGATAACCTAACTGCACCCACCCTCAAATCACTCCCCCCCCCCCAAAAAAAATCTGCACCTATTTCCAGAACCGCACTGGAAACTGATCCGTTTTAAGGCTCTGAAATATTTTGCTGATTTCCCCCACCACCACCCTCTTCTGGTGCCTGGCTGGAACTGGGAGTGCCCCAAATAAGGATGTTCTAGAAACATTTGCAGACCCAAGAGGTTTGTCTATGACAGCTCATCAACCAGGTGGTCAGATCCAGCAATAACATAAACAAGGGTAAGTTCATGCAAAGGGCCCGATTCTGATATTTCAATGGTTTTACCCAGGCGTAGCTCCATTGACTCCTGATTTATGCCAGTCTGATCCAAAGCCCGTTGAAGTCAATGCAAGTCTTCCAGCTAACTCCCTTGGGCTTGGGGAGCCCTAGGTGAGATGGGAATCTGCGCTCCAAGCAGGTCAGGGGACAGGCGGTAGTGACAGAGGAGGGTAACTCGCGCCCGTTGGCTGCGTTTGCAGATGGAGAGGGATAGACACGCGGAGGTGGTGGAAGGGAGTTGGTGAAACAAGGACCTGATCCCCCTCCTGCTCACACCAGGGGCTCTGTTGAAGTCAGTGGAGTTATCTAGGCATTCGTGAGTGCGGCAGCCTTGCCTGAGCATTGCCCTTTGCCACACCGCGAGACCCTGGGAACCAACCCCAATGCTCTTCCCCCCGTAGGCTGAACGGCTCGCTGCCTGAGAACGTAGAAGTCCAGAACAACACCTTGTTCTTCAAAGGGCCCATCTCCTACAGCCTGGCGGGGACGTACATCTGTGAGGCCACCAACACCATCGGCACGCGGTCGGGGCTCGTGGAAGTCAATGTCACAGGTAGGAAACACTCAGCCTATCTGCGAAGGGGCAGATTGGTGGTGAACAACCAGGCACAGGCTCTTCTGTCGGTTCTTCTAGAGCTGGACTCTCTCTCTCGGGATATAACCGATAAAGCAAACAGGATCTCCGCTTTGCCCTGCGCTCACGGGGTTTGTTTTCTGAGTGATTTGGGCTTGGATTTCATTTCATGTTTTCTTGGTCTCGCTTCCTTTTATACACGGTGGCTTGTTTGATCTCACCTCCCTTTGTTTTCCTTTCCGCTTCTGATTCAAAGCGAGAGTTGAAGCTGGGATGTGTGGTGAGAAGTGTTGAAGGAGAGGCTTTCTGAGGGGGTGGGAAAGAGGAGTGCCTCCCAACAAGGCAGTGGTCCGACATCTGTGGGTGACTGTTTGTTTCCCGTGCTTGTCGGTTTGAAGCAACTCAGCAGTTTTTTCCAGTTGTGCTGCTCTGTACAGCCGCTAACCCTACCATCGCACGCAAGGCTGAGGAGACAAGCTGTAGGGAGATGGGCCACTTTCTCTAGGCTCCAGGAGGGAGTGACATCAGAGGGCCAGGAGTTAAAATGGTGATGTCATACGGTGTCATATGAGAAATCAGGCTAGCCACTGAGAGAGGAAGTGGCATCTGGAGATGTTGGGTTAACATCAAGAGAGGAGATGACATCAGGAGGCGTCACGATGATGTCAAAGGGAGGAAATGACATCATGTGGCAGTAGATTAACGAGGGAGGAGAAATGACATCAGAAGCTGTTGGTCTGACATCATGGAGAAGTAACCTCTGGCAGTGACAGGCGAGTGGCAGAGAAAGGAAGTGTCATCATACAGCTAAGGGCTTGTGCGGTAGGCAGAGCATCTGCTTGCTCTCGGGTCTTGGTGGAGACAGCAAGGAGTGGCTGGCTGACGAAGCAGCCCTGAGGGCCTGGGGTATGTTGCGCTGCTGACGGTGTGTGGTTGTGCTTGTGATGTGTGTTCCTCTGGTGGGCGATCTCCATCTCGGATCAACTCAGTCCATGGTGGTTATAAAAAGACACATGACCCAGTGTTGTTCCCAGCATCTGCGAGGAGACCATGTGCCACCCGGTGCCCTGGAGACACAGCTACCAGGATGAGAAGCATGGTATGAACATCTAGATAGGCAGAGCCCAGCCTGATCTCTCTCAGCTGGCTTAATACAATGGCTGGATGCCTCTTGCCCTGGGTTTAACCTTTTCCACAATGCAGCGGAGCTCTGAGATTTCCCCCACCCAATGGCCAGGCCGCAATGCTGCTGGGATAGAGAGAAATGGGAGAGTATACCAAACCGTGCCACAACCAAAATATGACCCAAGATGCCCAGCGCTCTAAGCCCTGGGCTTAGCAAGGCATTGGTTCTGTCACCACGTGCCCTAGCTGCCCGGCTGCTTGGTCTCCCTGCTTGCCTGGTTTCGATCTCCACTGGGGAATTTCCAGGCGGTGTAAAACTCTCTCCGAGGGACTGCTGCCAATTGGCAATGCAGAATGAGGCAGAGGACTGATCTGCAGAGGGCTGCTTCTCAGGCTGTCCTATGACAGGGGGCATTGGAGACTTGTGTCCAGTCCCTGAGGCAGGCATGGCTCCCTGGTGGGGATGGGAGGGGAAACAAGCTCCTGGGGCCAAGGCGGCTGCTGTCAGGCGGGTTGGGGAATCGTCGCACAGTCTCCTTTCTCTAAATCTGACCAAAGGCCCAAGCGCTGCCATATTGTTCCCTCTGAGGCGCACGGCTAATGAGACGCCCTGCAGGCTGCGGGAGCTTCCAGGGCATGGGATGTTGGGAGCACAAGTGGAGAGCAGGAACGGGGCCTCCTGCACTCGCTGGGCTAGACAAGGGGCTGTGTGGAGTCGGACACCGGGGTCCCATTCCCAGAGCTGCCACAGACTCATTGTGGGACCATGGGCCTCATTCTTTGGGGAGGTGCCCGACTTGAGACATCTCAGGCCTGATTCGAAGAGGTGCTGAGCACCCCTGGCCTCCATTGATGCCCATTGCAGCTTGGGGGTGCTCAGCAGGTCTGAGAATTGGACCCAGGGTGCCTCAAACTGCAATCAGTGATAATGTTGGTCTGGGCACCTCCCTGTGCCTCAGTTTCCCCCGCCTAGCATGTGGGGACAGTCATATTAACTTTCCCTTGTGAAGCGTGTGGAGGTCTGTGGATGAAACAAGCTGTTGAGATGCTACGTATCATTCGTTAATTGGTGTTGGGGTGAACCTGTGGTCCAAACCGTTTGCCTTGCGTCATTATCTATTGAGTCGGGACTGGTTTCTGTTTCCCTTTGTGGAATACTTTACTGGTGAAAGGAGCTGGCATCATGGCAGCCTGAGCGACTGGGGAGCTCTGCCTACAGACGAGATACAGCCTGGGCAGCAGTGGGGCGAGGAGCCATGACTCAGCGTTGACCCGGGATTGTGTCTAGGGGCCAGAGAGATGAGCATCTCCGAGATCCCTTGAGCCACATTTGTGAGTACCAACAAGAGGGCTGATCAATGCCAGCCATTGTGCTCCTTTGGCAACGTGGGCAACTGCCCTCTAGAAACCGGGCTGAGATCCCCTGCAGCTTATTTCACGTAGGCCCAAAGCCATCAAATGGTAACGACCAGTAATCTGGACTAGACCGGGAGGTGGAAAGCTCCCTGTTCCCAGCACAGGAGAGTAGATTCATAACACACACAAGGGAAGGGTTTGGGGGAGACAGGGTTTCTGTATAGAGTGTTTCGTTCTAAGCTCCGATCTCTCTGCCTCTCAACCATTACTGTGTCGCAGTCGAAATATGCCCCAAGATGTCCGTTGCTGTGAGGCCTGTAATAGTGAGGCCCTGTTTCTGCTCCCATGTCTCTCAGCCGGCCATGCACAATTGCACAGCCATGTACAATGACACTCGCACATCTGCCTACCCAAGGGGTTTACGTTGCCGCCCATCATCACCGTACCCAGGTACCTTCCACATGAAATCCCTAGCAATAGTGAAGTCTCTAGTGGATTTCCTGGCGTCTCCGGCACATCTCCCGTTTCAGAGTTGGCTAGGCTGTGGGGCTCATTGGGCAGATGGTGGCAGGGTTTGAGTGTGGTTCTTCTAGTGGAAAGGCCTTGCACTCAGGGGGAACCATGAACCCAGTGGGAGTTGGGTGCCTAAGTGCTCTTTGTGCCTTGGTGGATGGGCGCATGGAGTGAGCCACCCGGAGGGAATGGAGAACAGAGCATGGGAGGGAAGGGGCATGTGTCGAGCCGGGGGAAGCAGAAATGGGCATAGCAGGAAACGCTTTTGGGAATTGCTGTTTACCAGGCAGGTGGGGGCCCAGGGGACGATTAGCACCGAGGGCAGGGGAAAGCCATCGTTAAAATCAGGCTTTCGAGGGTGTTGGGATAGGGCTTCAGTGATAGTGCTGGGGAATGAGGGTTGGTACTGCCCTGGATGCCAGATGCATAAATCTGGAGTCACACCCCACACCTTGTTTTCAGTGGAGTGACTCCAGGTTTACACCCACATGGCTGAGATCAGAATCTGGACCCTGAGGTGCCAGCGTGTAGAACGGTATCCATGGTGAGGTGACCAGCTGCAGCGGGGATGGGGGGGTAAGAGCATGCACTGAAGGGGGCCGCGTTCGAGCCGATTAACAGCTGACTCGTTAGACCGGGGATACACAAAGTAATACCTTTTAATAATTCATGGGATCTGAATATGTTTATCCAGCTCTCCCCAAGGGCTGATTAGGTCGGCGCTGGAGAGGGCTCAGCCGGCCTCGCTCGCCTATTACAGGTACATTTGTTTGGCGCTTGCAGGCAATTTAGGGATTGTCAGCGGACCACGAAGCCTCTTTCAAGGGCCGTGCGCAATAAATGGCGCTCAGTCGAGTGAGCCGCTAGCCTTGGGTAAAATAGAGAGGAGCCCAATGCAGAGCCAACCCCGCCCAGCTCCCACCTCGCTCTCACGCGCGCCTGTCCCCCTCTCCTGCCATCACGGCAGCCTGCGATTAGCCCACTCCAGACCTGAACGAGGAGGGGAATCACCTGTCTCCCTCCTGAGCCAACCGGGGATTTGTTCCGGGGAAAGGCTGGAAGCTGCTATTAGAGTTATAGCACATTAAAAAGATTGATAAGTGGAAATTTAATATTTTATCCCTGCAATCTGTTCACGTAATAGCTTCTCCTGCCTTGCAGGACGTTTGTCGGTCGAGGCAAATCCATGTAGTGAGGCATGTAACTATTTATTACAGCTGGTTGTGGGAAATAATAAGGGACTCTTATTATAGACTCACTGTGTCTGCACATGTGTCCCTGCGTGTCTAAGTGGGCTCTAGGGCAGGCAGGCTTCCCTGCAGGGGAGCACGCTCCATCATGCATGCACACGCTCACGTGCACCGGGGCTCAAAGGCACGTTTGTGCACAGTCAGGCACATGCCGATTCGGGCACAATTGCACATTCGTGAGCAGTTGTGCACACGCATCTCTGTACGATTGTACCTTCAGACACAGCCAGGCACAATTGAGCATCCATGTACAGTCACACACGTGCCCACCCATTTGGCCCCCCTGTGCATACATACGCACACTCGGACACGCCCATACACCGTCACCGGCATGTGTACACAAATGCACCAACCTGCGCGCACAGACATCCCTGCATGCAGACGCACACAAACATGCCTATGCGCAGGTAGACACCGTCGTCTCTGCGTGCCCATCTTCAGACACATGCAGCCTGTGCACGTGGATCCCCAGCCTAGTGCATGCACACGTTATAATGTGCAAGGGCAGACGTGTATATTCACAACTCCCTGCGCCCACCCACCTGCACGCTCATGCAGAGGGCGTGCACACTCCCTGTGGAAATGGCAGGGAGGGACCTGAGGAGGTGTGTTGGAGAAGGAGGCCTAAAATCCTCTCTGAACCCAGCTTACTGGCAGCTGCATTTCGCAGATGCTTAAAGGAGAAGCGGTCGTCATTCGGGCTCGGCTCCTTGTTTGGTCCAGAAGGTCTCAGCT